GTGCCAGAATCAGGGCTGGGCACCCAGGCAAGGCGGCGCCTTAGGGCCCTGTCTGGCCAGTGTCCACCTATCCACACCTGCCCCCGCCCAGCCTCCTCCATGGTCTCAGACTTTCTAGAAGGAAGCAGAGTTAACATTTCAGGTGCTGGAGGGGCTGTGGCCAGACTGAGACAGATAGGCTTCGGGCGTGGATGCTCAGAGGCATCCCCTCCCTGTTCTGTTCATTGAGTTAGGGGACCTGCGGCTGAGAATACCCTTAGGTAGGCCAGGCAGAGACTCCAGTCCCTGACCAGTCATTCTTGTGCCTCTCCTTGGACATTACCCAGCTCAGAGCCCTGGGTCTGAGGGGAAGTTTCCTGGGAGCTTGGTCTCCTGGGAGGAGGCCCCATCGTGAGCCTGTCTCCTCATGGACCACAGAGCCTGCGTGGTGGGCCTGGTGGGGAGCACCAATTCAAGGGGCCAGGAGGCAGCATGTATTGGGGCCTTCCCATTTGAGAACACAGACTCACACTATTTTATTTGTTTTATGGATGGAGTGTCTGGAGACCCAGCATTTCAGAGCACGGGAAACAGACCTTTCCCTGAGTCAGGTGGAGCCCGGGACAGCGCTCCTGGGATGACAGGTGGAGAGCACAGAAGCCCACCCCAGCCCGCAGTGGCTGAGGAAACTGGGTTTTGCACAGGCACAGCTCCAGAACGGATCTCTGGTGTGTGTGGGAGGAGGAGGTGAAGGAGTGGGGGGCTCACTTTGGCTCACCTCTGCAGGAGGCTCAGCTGGCTCCTGGCTGGTATTACTGTGAAACAGGCAAGGAGCACTGCCATCAATTGCTGTGCTTGCTCAACCACCTTCTACTCTCTGTAAGGACAAGGCCCTTGGTGATCACACTCCGATGGGCATCAGACTCACACAGGAGCTCTGAGAAATCCCCAGGCCCGAGTCCCACCCACTCCAAGGAACCTGGGGCTCTGTGGTCCTTATGATCCTCCCAGGTGACTTGGACACACATCAAAGCCTGAGAACCACTAGCTGGATGACACGGAATGTGTGGGGATAGGATGGTTCCCTGTGTGGATAGAATTGCTATCAGGCTAGCTGGAGGAGCCATGGACTCAAGTCTCTGTAAGGCCTGACCCAGAATTTTCCACCCCGGCTACCTGTTAAAATCAGCTGAGGAGTTCAAATAATAAAGACGCCTGATGTCTCCCCAGATATTCTTTCACTGGTCTGTGGTGGGGCCAGGCCTCAGTACTGCTGAAGCTCTCTAGGTCTTTTTAATGCGCCGTCCTGGATCTTGAAAACCCTCAACTCACATGCACACTCATTTTTATGTTGGTTTTAGACTGTCTTTGCTTACAGGGGATACTTGGAAAGGCTACTCCATACATTGCTAAGCCCACATTTTGAGACTGAGAACCAGAAATCTTGGGGATGGTGACCAAGCTCCACCCACGTGCATTGGGAGAAGGGTCTGTCATGGTTGGAGTAGGATGTTTCTTACCTACTGGATTTTACTTTCAGGTCAATGCCATTGTGTACACACACACACACACACACGCACGCCAGAGGGGGAGGCCGATTTGCATAAAGGGACTAACTTCTAGGGAGCCTTGTCAAAGGGCTGAGAACATGCACCTGCCTCAGTGGGAGGGTGGTGGGTGGGGTGGCTTGACTCATTTTGTTTTTGTCGCCCTCTTACTTGAGGGGTGACTGCCTCCCCAGGTCTGCGCCTAAAGGACCTGGGGAAGATGCAGTTGGAAGCCACGGTCACAGAGAACCGTTGTTGTCAGAAACAATCCTCAGGCCTCTGCAACCTGTTATTGTGCATGTTCATTCCCAAGGGCTCAGCCCCTGAGGAGTTGTAGGAGAACAAAGGCAGCAGTGCTTGCCATGTGAGGCAAACGTGCTTCTAAACCACAGAGGATGGGCGCTCCGCGGGGGCCGCCTAGAGCTGCCAACTGCCCGGCTCCACTGGAGACTCGGAGCTCTGCACACGTGGCTGGCCTGCTCTGATCTGCCCCTGGGGCCACGCCCTCGGCATTTCCACTCAAGTGGACTCCCTTCCTTTACTGGCCTCAGAGTTGAGAGGAGAGTGCAAGGCTGACTGGAGAGCAGGAGGACAACATCCCAAGGTCACCTAGTGCCAGGGAGGGCTGTGCCACAGGGCAGGGTGAACACAGAGTCCTACATTGGCTGAGCCCGCAGAGGGGTGCCCATGGGCAAAGTTCTTCTCACATGGCCTTATCTTTTCACACACAGGTCCTGTGGGGACATTGTGATTTCCATAAATGACAGCTCAGGAGGATGGGAGAGTAGAGTTCGACTTTGAGCTTAAAATAATTAAATAAACCAAACACACCAAATACACACAAAAAACGTGCACTTGCCCCAGACAGTCCCCATTTCTGAGATGCTGTTGGATGCTGCAGGCTGCCTGGCAGAATATGACATGGTGACAAGGGATGCTCTGGGGAAATCCAAGTGATTCCAGCTTTCCACCTGGACCCTGTCTCAGCATTCACTGCTCTCAGGACAGTGGCTGGAGTACAGGGGCAGCGGCCAGGGCACCTGACTTCCCTGGGCTTTGCTGCCTCCACATTTGCAGCCTCAGAGCAGAGAACTGCCTGCCTTCCACCCCCCCCCCTGCCAGGAGGGCTGCAGCTAAGATAGCTGCTGAGCGTCACCATGTGCTCCCTTCCCAGGCCACCAATGGGGAGAGCTTTTTTTTCTTTTTTCTTTTTTAAATGATACCATTTATTTTTCGTTAAAGCAAGAAACCATGTCATTATAACAATCTGCTACTGAGAATGGTTCTCACAAAGGTATCATCCAGTAAATATTTTCTCCTGAAACAAGAATATGTATTGAATAAATATAGAATGAAGTTTAATTTATGTTAGATTTTTGTAAAGCTTATATCTCTTCAAATCCACACGTGGCCGTGATATTACTATAGAATCTCAAATCATTAAGAAAAATTACAAACTCCATTTATGTAAGCAGATTTGAATGTAGTCCAACTTGTTTTGTTAAGGTCATATTTGATATAGAAGGAAGGCTATTTTCAGGGTTCATCACCCACCTACTCTTTAAAGACAAATATTACTCAAATGTTCTCCACCAGGCAGACTTAAGAAGAACACAAATGCAGTCTTTAATTTCAATATTCAATATCAATTATCTTAGTTCGTGAATTTAAGTCAATAATGGCTTAATTTAAGCATTCTCTTTTTGCCATTGTAGTATAAATGTGACCATTGTTGCTTCTGAACATTTCTTGGCCAGAGAATGAATCGCTTTGTTTTTCGACTTCCAGCTCTCCCAAGCCACTATATTCCAAATTAAAAGGGAAGGATTTTAAAAGAGGATTCTAAAGAAACTCTATGCTTTTTTTTTTTTTTTTTTTTTTTTTTAATTTGAGTAATTGCTAATAAGGTTAGAAGAGTCAATGGTTAGACCTGAGACCAAACTGGACTGAGGCTGATTTGAGCTCAATCTGGATATTTTAGGCTCACACACAGCATCCCCAGCCTCGTGAAGGGTGAACTGCCCTTTCCCACAAATGCATCCTCAGAGGTAGAGGCTATAATCAGTTCACTCAGCAAATGTCCAGCACCTCCTAGGTGCCAGGCACACTGTGCTGGGTCCTGGGGCTGTGGCCTTGAAGGAGAGTACTGGCTCCCTGGCATCTTGGTGCCTGGAGAACCACGCAGGAGGTGGACAGTGCAAACATGGAGAGGGTGAGTCATGGTAGGGCAGGTGAGGGTGTGAAGGAAGCAAGCAGTGTGCAGCCACAGAGGAGAGACAAGGACATGTTTAGACAGGGCCATCAAAAAGACCTCATTGAGGAGGTAGGCCTGGAACCAGTTACAACTATAAATCCTGAGTATGAAATCCCAGAGCTGAAAGTAGCCTCAGAAGTCACAGGGTATAACTATGCTGTGGTTACGGATGCAGAGATGTGCAGGATCAGAGCAGAACCTCCTGTGGGTAGAGGCAGAGCCGTGGCCAGGACCCAGGAGACTGGGCTCCCAGTGCCATCCTGCCTTTTTCAGGGGGACTCGCCCATGGGTTCTACAGTATAAGGTAGATTCTGAGACCTAAGGGCCTTTCCAGTTCCTAGACAGGAGAATTCAGAAACCAAGAGTGAGGGGGCGTTTGCCACACGTGGCTGTTGAGGCAGAAAAGTCAAATTCACCAGATCACGAATCCTGTCGTAGACTGAGTTTTCTGAATTGACAAATTACATTGACTCCGAGTCAGATGGATATCAAACCATCTTGACTTTCTACTGCATTGACTCAACCAAGAAATTAGCTCACCTCCTGAGAAGTGAGAAGAGGCCTGCCAGAGGTTTATAGAAACCTTCCAAGGGTGAGCTTGGCACTCCTTGCCTCACTAGAACCTTCCCTCTGAGGGGCGCATTCCTGGAGAGAAGCCCTTGCTTTTGGTTCTCAGCCTTAAGAGTAGGTGCTTTCCTCTGAGCCTGGAGTCTTATCTTCGCCAATAAGGCCACTCATGGAGGTTTGGAGGTTGTGTGGATGAGGCCGGGAGAGGAGGATCTGGCTGGAGCAGCTGGGGCAGAGAGAGCTCCCACCATCCAGGAGCCCCGGCCCCAGCAATGGTAGAGTGAAGGGTGAGGGGCAGTGAAAGGACTATAGCCATCTTAGTTGAACTGCACCGAGGCTTCCTGCAGAACCGGGCTCCTCTTGCTAACCTTGGGCTCCTTTCCATGTGTTCAAGGCTCTCCCTGAAGTCACATCGTCCAGTTATGTGGCATTTGCAGGGCTGAGCTCAGATCTGGAGTCTGCAGAGTTCAGGGGGCTCTCACGTGGGGTAGAGTTTAGACGTGGCATGGGGGACAGCTCACACACAAGGCACATTTGACCTGGAGAAGAGACCACCCAGAGGGGAGGAGGCTGGTCCAGTGCTGGGAGGACAGTCCTATGGAGCATCAGGAAATTCAGCAGATGAGTTTTACATCTGTTTTTTCCAACTACAGTTCAGTCCTGGAGCAGACACAGCCTTGTTTGCAGAGAGCCAACATTCTAATTGACGGTGCATGGTGGGAAACAGTGAATGGAGGGAAAGAGTGCCAATGTCAGAGAGCTACAGTGCAGTGAAGAAGAGAAGGCAAGAGGATGTGATGCAAAATCACAGGACTTGGCTTCCAGACCATTCTGCTTCCATGAGAACATTTTAGTTGAGAACCGGATGGCATGAAAGTAAGCCAGAAGATACCAGGCAGGGACAGACTGGTCCCCAGGTGCGAATGAGGTTGGAGCATTTGGGACTGCAAAGAATGTGGAGCGTGGTGAATGAGATGGCCCTTTGTATCAGATTCATGCATGAGTGGCTGGGGTCATGTGTGTGCTTCAGTAGAGGGTACAAAGGGCACACTAAGAAATCTGGGTTTCTTTCTGAGGGCCTGGGAAGCCACCAGAAAGCACTGAGCAGATAGTGGTGGATTTATTTATGTGTTTATGAAATCATGCTGGGTGCTGGGTGGTGAATGCTTATAGGGGCAGAGGGCAAGGGTGGAATTGCAGAGACCACAGCTAAGAGCCAATTGCAGAGCCAGGCTCATTGTGATTCAACCTGGGAGGCATTGGGGATGAAGGAGATGAGGCCGGTGAAGGATGCATTTCTACCTATAATATGGATTAGGTAGATGGGTTTATATGTAATGTAGATTAGACTCAGAAATCAAACTGGAGCCAATGGCGGACACCTGATGGAAGGTGTACTTCAATTTCTTCCATTGCATAGAAAAGCAATACCGTGGAAAGAGGATGGGATCTGGTGCCTCTCAGACAGGATTCCACTTGCAAGCCGTGTGACATGGGGCAGCCCACCCGATCCTGGACCTCCACAAATCCCTCTGCGACGTGGAGAGAATCAGATTTCCCCACAGAGACTCCATGAAGGGCCCCAGAGCGCACTCTCCGGTTAGCCACTGATGCATTCACAAGGAAGAGGAAGAGTTAAATGTTCCTTTCGAGGAAGCAGTGGTGGCCAAGTGCTGTGGGCAGTGTGAGATCAGAGCTGACAGCTCAGAATGTGAATCGCAGTCCTCACCAGGGCCATCGCGTGTTGCAGGGAGCTCTTCCCAAGTGCTCACTTTTACTAAATTACAAAAAATACATAACAGGAGAGTTTCTTTGTGTTTTAAAAATCAATGACCAATTTTTGTTTAGTTTTGTTTTTAAAATACAGTGTTTTCAGAGATAAGAGTATTATATTGGAAAGCTGTTGTGACACAGAAAATTACATGAGCTTGTAGTTGATTAAAACAGTCAAGTTGACCTACATGTCATCTCAGTGCACAGCAAGGAAGCATCTTCAGCTTAGAAAATTGCTGGCATGAACACAAACAATCTAGTTCTTTGAAACGAGAATTTTCAGATTTTAGATTTATGGTGAGAAATAGCTAAGTCCCAGGGCCGGGCACGGTGGCTCGTGCTTGTAATCCCAGCACTTTGGGATGCCAAGGCGGGTGGATCACCTGAGATCAAGAGTTCGAGACCAGCCTGGCCAACATGGTGAAATCCTGTCTGTACTAAAAATACAAACATTAGCTGGGCGTGGTGGCGAGCACCTGTAATCCCAGCTACTCGGGAGGCTGAGGCAGAAGAATTGACTGAACCCGGGAGGTGGAAGTTGCAGTGGGCTGAGATCATACCATTGTACTCCAGCCTGGGCAACAAGAGCGAAACTCCTTCTCAAAAAAAAAAAAAAAAAAAAAAAAAAAAAAAAAAAAAAAAAAAAAAAAGAAAAGAAAAAGAAGAAAAGAAAGAAAAGAAAAAAGAAAAAAACTGCTGAGTCCTGAAATACTGATAAAATGACCAACTCTGTTCATGTTCAAAACTTGACACTTTCAGTGTCAGGGTGACCAGGAATCGTGGCTGTAAAGGAAGCCTGAGACTTCTCTGGTTCTAGCATGAAAGAATTTTCCAAAACTGGGTAGAGGCTGGGGCCTTCGAAGTTTGACATTAGTGTAAATGAATGTATTCTCAACAAGAATATAGACGAGTTTGCACTGAATTCAGAATACTTAACTCCAGACTTATAAGATATTAAATAATTCTTTAAAATGGATTCTCAGGCACTTTATTTATGCTACTCATGAGAGCTACACTGGCAAGGGAGGTCACAGTTTCTGACGTGCCTTTTTTCTAAACTTCTGACTTTGTACACATGCCGAACATATATTTAACTGTTGGGATCCCAGTTTTCTATATTGGGGGATTTTTCTTTATATTTTTTACCTTTCGATAAAGTAGATCTTTAGAAATCAGAATTCCTGAGGTTCTAGTACTGTCAAATTTGCGTTCTTGGGAATGCTGAGGTTTAACCTTGACTCCTTCAAATGAATGCTGGGTGAACTTGTCTAAACTCGTGTTCCTCTCATTCAGTTTCTCCCTCTGTGAAGCAGAGGCAATGGCACTCCCACCTTTTAAAATCCTTAAGGTTTGGGAAAGGTTTTCAGAGTAGTCAAATAATTTAATACCCTTAGGTAAAATGTGCTCTCAAATTGTATTTCTAGCCATGGAAATGAAGATTAGTCTCTTCAGTTTTTTTCTTAGTTGGAATGGCCACTGGGAGATTCTGCTAAAATGAAAGATTTTTTAAAAAATATAGTGCTGTTCAGGGGTGTTCTGATTTGATTACCTTTCTTCTAACACAAGGGTGAGTTTCAGAGACTCTGGTTCACACAAGACGGGGCAAATTCCATTGTGTCCTTCTCAGAGGAGGCACCTCACACTCGTCTTGTCTTGTGAATAACTGCACAACTGGTCATGAGGAATGCTAGGGGGTGGCCTGTCATGGGAGCCCACCTTGCACATATTCAATGCCAATATCCGTCTGGAGCTTTGACAGGGCTGTGTTTACGTCTGCCTTTCACAGAAATTGGTATTCCTCTCATCTTTTATTTCAACAGTTACAGTTAAACTACACCTTGATGAACTCCCCGTGTGTATTCTTGCCAGTTCCCAGCCCACCTCCCTCCGCAACCCTCCCACAAACTGAAATGGAAGCCGGGCTGTGAAACATGAAACGTGCTGTTATAAAACTGTATTTTATAGTTGCAGCATGTGACAGTTGAAGGCGTGTTTATGTAGCTGAGGAGACAGAAACACCAGTCTTCCCACTCCAGAGTTTACCTAACTTCCTTCAGGACTAAGGGTAGAGCTGTAGATCATAATGCATCCCTTGGGGAGATAAAGAGGAAGAGAAAGAGTTAAATGCTGCTTTTGATGAAGTCTGCATGCTAAGAAATGAATGGCAAAAATGTGTCCGGGTTTTTTTTTTTTTTGAGATGGAGTCTTGCTCTGTTGCCAGCTTGGAGTGCAGTGGCGTGATCTTGTCTCACTGCAACCTGCGCCTCCCAGGTTCAAGCGATTCTCCTGCCTCAGCCTCCCAAGCAGCTGGGATTATAGGCACAGGTCACCACGCCTGGCTCCTGGCTAATGTTTGTATTTTTAGTAGAGACAGGGTTTTACCATGTTGGCCAGGATGTTCTCGATCTCCTAACCTTGTGATCTGCCCACCTTGGCCTCCCAAAGTGCTGGGATTACAGGTGTGAGCCACCGCACCTGGCCCTGCTGCTGGTTGTTAAATGCCGTGAGCAAACATTTCCGAGTCATTGCCACACTGTGGTTCTTCCATTTTAGGAACTCAGCAGCAAGAAGGCTTCTGTGACTGAGGCCTCGATGGAGGGAGCATGAGACGTCCTCAGTGACTTCACCGTCCTCTCTTTTTGACTCCTTTGCTTCAGGCCACCTCCGGCTATCACCCTTTTGGTTCCAGCCCTGCCGGCTGCTGAAGTGCTCTGGCTTAGAGATTTGTGTTTGGGTGGGTGAAGGTCTTCTGCTTCGTGTCTGCCTGTTTTCTGGTTTCGCCTTCCTGCCTCTCCCTTTCTCCCCTTCCTCCATTCCCTTCCTCTCCTTCACCATTTCCCTTTCTCCTTCACCAGTCGGTGAGTGCCAGTCATGTGCTAGGCCCAACTTAGATCCAGAGGGTCTTAAGATAACCCACCTCCTTCCAGGAGAACCTCGCATCATGACATTCCTTAGGGTGAGGCTAACTCAGCTTGGACTATGCAGAAGTTAGGACACATGGAGAAATCCGGCTGTGGTGGTTTCATCCATCTGCATTTTGGTAGGCCCTACCTTTCAGGTATAGGGCTGGGTGGTGAAGGGGCCCAGTGAAGCCCGGGGCCACGTGTTGCTTAAAGTTGCAAATGCACACCTGCAACATTTAGTGGCATTTCTGATAACTCACTGTGTAAGGCTGTTTTGTGCTTGCGGCAGAATTTCTCCTCTGGTTTCCTACATAGGAATATCATCCATTGCTCGGTGCAGGAGCAGGAACGGAGAGACGAGAGGCCAGGGTGGGTCTGAGGCTGTTCTCCAGTCACTTCAGGCTTGGCTCACAGCCCGACTTCCTGCCCCGCAGCCTCCTGCCCCTGTCGCCAGAACGGCTGAGCCTGCTGATGACAAAGCCACAGCTCATAAGCTGACAATTTTGTCTGGATTTCTATCAAGGCCGGGGGTGCAGTCAATAGCACATGCAGGAAATTTTAAAAGATCAAGAGCAGCTAACAACAAAATCCACTCTGGGATGTTTTTAACCAAACAATCAAGGATTCAGTGCTTTCCGGGGGTGAGGACCAAAACGGAGCAGGACCGGCAGCCAGCATCACCTCTTCCATCTTCCGTCTGTCCTGAACCACCCTAAAAATAGCGCCTGGACCTCACACCATCCGTGCTTTTGTTATTTACCCTCTTTGGTCTTTTGAAAAACATCTTTCTTGGGACTGAGAGTCTCCCATCATTCGTGCTTATAGAGTCCTTTCTTCTGAAGTGGTAAACGTGCCTATCCTCATTTCTGGGAAGTCAGTGACAGGACTTCTGTGAGGGGAAAGTGGCTTCAGCTGGGTTACAGAGGCAGGTGGTGGAAGAGTGAGGTGAGAGTGCCACCGCTTCTGGGGACAGAGCATGTGCTGGTTCAGTGGCTCTCTGACTCTTCCTAAGGAAGAACAGTGCCCTCCTTGCCCTTCTCTACGCAAAGCCCTCACCAGGCTTCCCTCTGAACCACACCTTTCTTATGAGGCCCTCTGGGAAGCTGAACCAGACCCACAGTGCCTCTAGCTCCTCCTTCAAGTTACACTCCCAGGTGCCTGCCTCTGGCAAATCTCAGGAAGGCAGGGGCCGAGCCTCTGCTCCATTTTGAATGCCTGCAGACCTAGGGCAGCTGACCTGCAGCCCCAGCAGACATCAGTCTGTGGCTTTCGAGGCCAGCTTTCCCTTTCTCGGCTTCCCCGTGGGCTTTGGCCAGTCTTGTCATTTTGCCATGCTTCAGTTAATTCATCTGAATTGTGGTAAGATATTGCACAGAGAATTGTGAGTGGTGACAAAAGGACCCAGAGAAGTCGTCTCCCAAAACCGGAAGTTCCATGGATGTGGGATAACCATGCTGTGTCCATCTTTCTCGTAGGAGCAACTGAGTGAAAAGCCATGGCTGAGTGAGATCACCACTAAGTGGGATTTGTCCACCACTGGTACTGGCTTCAGAATACTGATCACAACCAGGGGAGGGTGGCCAGTCCGGGAGGCCACACACTGCAGCTTTCCTTCAGGAAAAGCCTGTGGCTCCATGGGTATAAACCAAATGTGAGTTGGATGGATCACCTGAAGCAGAGTATCCAATCTCACTCCTGCCCCACAGCCAACTGGACACCCGCAGAGCCCCAGGCACCCCTAGCAGATGGCGAGCGTGTCCAGCTGCACAGGCTGCAGCCTGGTGACTCGGGTATCTGTGATCTGGTCTCATGTTCTGAGCTGATCCCCACGCTCAGACCTCCACCCCATGGCTGCGCATTCTGCTCACTGAGGTCTCTTCCCCAATGGTCGCAAGGAAAACACGAAAGGCAAGGATGGTGAGCATGATGAACATTTCCTGTGGGAGACAGAGTTGCAGGCATTCTCAGAAAAGGAGGGCACTTTGGAAAGGGCTGGAGATGAAAGTGCAGCACAGTGGGAAGGAAAGCCAGTCTCCACGGAGACACGGGAGGGAAGTCAGCATGGAGGGGAGAAGGGAACAGGCCCGCTCACAACACCACAGGCTGCCAAGAGCCCAGACACAGAGCAGAATAAGGAAACACTCGTGTGGGTGTCGGGGTTTGTCCTCATTTGCTTCATGCTGCTGCTCCCCAGCTTAATTGCTTCATAAATCTTGAACAATTTATGAACCTCCCTGAGCCCCAGTTTTGTCATCCGTAAGATGGCTGTTAAATTACATACCTCTCCAGCAATAAGCAGATTTAATGACAAAAAACATATAAAGAATAACAACAAATATCATAAAACACCTTGGACTATTTTTAAGGAAAATCAGTGTGATTGCAACCAAGAAAATTACAAAACTTTATTGGCATATAAAATGTACACAAAAAATAACATACACATTTGAACAATATCATATCCCTGAATAAGAAAAT